ATTTCCAAGCTACCCCTTTTGCCCAAACTATGCCGCATCCTGAATTTCGACCACTCGAACACACGTTTGCAGTATTTGAATCTCAAAGGCGCCATCCATCCTTACGGCTGTACCTTCCCCTCGGATTTGAACGTTGATCTCCTGGGCTCTTTCCCCTTCTCCTCCAACGCTTTTCAACACGTCCATTCGCTACGACTATTCAATGTCATATTCCCCAGCATTCGGGACATGGTCAACGTTGTCTGCCAGTTCTCGAGTCTTCGTACCCTCTTCATCCGTTACCAACTTTACCCATCCAACCCGAGCCCATTTCAGGTACATCACTCCCACACGGAGGTTTTGGTGGCTGTTGAGAAGCTGCCGAAGAGCCTCCAGTCATTGACCATCGATGCTCGCAACGTCTCGCTGGCGTCCCTATCGAGTCTCGTTGCGTCGTTGGCTCCGCGGATCAGGTCGTATCAAATTCAGAGCATACGAAGCGAGGATCTGGCAGCTCTGAAGGCGTTCGTGGTCGCAGCGGGGTCCTTTGGACCAGATGGACAGTCTTGGGATCTAGAGTTCCAGGACCTTCGGGCAGATGAGAAAGCTCGTCTGCACGAGTACATCGATCTTCCGCATGACAACGGCAAGGTTGTTAGGTTGGGTTTGGATGGATTGGAATGGATGGTTGCAGTTGCTTTGTTGTCGACGTTTGGGCTTCACGCTCGGGAATCCGGACTTTTGGAATCTATCACGCTTCCTGATGTTCGTGTGAGGGAATCCCGCTGTTACCAGGAGGACCTCGGTTTTCTGGACCGGGTTATTGACTCTGTGTATTTTGGGAACCTCCGAGCGATACTTGTAACGGTTGTTCTCGTTGCACCAGATGTCGAGCGGTTGGCTGATGGTTTCGGTAATGAGTTGGAGAAGCTTCGTTGTGGTGCGCTTGTCAGGCCGAGATGGAGAGTATATTAAGCCTGTATCAGGATCAGTAGTCTTCGAACCATGATGGCGCGATGGCATCAGGCGAAATCTTCATTTCTGAAGCCCCTCTCTTACTTGCATTTTCTTATCGGGTCGAGCCTTCGAAGCTTCATGAACCGCAGTAAGTACTTAGCTTATCGTACCGTTTCTCGATACAGTTCAAAAGCCACTTCACTTCAGCGTGTACTCAATAAGCCCCGACGGGAATTCCGCGCCGGTGTTTGTGACCGACAACTTCTATTGCTCCCATCATGACGATGAATGATGCAGAGCCTTTTGAATCTTTTTCTTCCGACGATCTTTTCGCTTTGACACCCAATAGCTTCCTCATCCGGCAACTCTAAAGTCACACCCTCGGCCTCGTTGCTTCTTTATGCGCCGCATCGAAAGGCGGAATCTGATGGATTGTGTGAGAACAAGACCAGGTGCTGAGGTTCCGAAATGGCTGGCACCTGTGTCATCTCCCTCTAAAGGCTCTAATTAGGCCACGGGGCGTTGAAGCGAGTAGATATATAAAACAAGGAGCATGTTCTACCTCTCAGCTCCCCCCGCTCGACTTTCTGAGAAGACTCCAATCCTCCAGCGATGGCTTCTACCGAGGTACCACCTTCACTTTCGAATATGTAAGAGGTTTCTTGGGGGTGTTTTGCGTGGTTATCTGACCCAATCGTGTTGCTAGAACAGGGCCATTGGTACGTGAACTCGGATAAAAGACGCAAGGCAATTGGGACTCACTTACTGAAGCTTCTCGGATATCTCTTCAACTGGGGTCTCTATGGCGTTTTGTCAGTACAAACTTGTGAGTATCCCCGAGTATTCTTCACTCCTAATAGGCTCATTCACGTTTACCTAGACTTGTACTACACGGCCTTCCCAACAGACAAGCCGGCGTTCCAACTCCTTGTCTACAGCATCTATATTTTCGAGACCGTACAGACGGCCATGGTAACTTGGGACGCATTTCAGAACTTCGCTTTCGGGTTTGGAGACCCCCAAGCCCTTGACCGGATGCACTTGGTATGGTTTGATGTTTGCATTCTAGACGGTTTTGGTGAGCCTTGAGTCTGTGTCAATCTTACCATTCTGGACCAACTTCTTTCCACCCCGGTCTTCCAGTTGCCTTCTGCGTTCAGGTGTATTTCGCGTACAGGCTATATTTGCTGTCCAAGTACAGACTCCTTTCCGGCATCATTGTCCTCGTGAGTTGGTCGCCCTTAAACGTTGTCGTTACGCAAAAAGGTGTACTGATCGCTTCTCGCAGATAGCTCTTGCACAAGTAGGGGGAGCTATTGCAACAGGTATCATTGCCAAGTCGGTCGGATTCTTTTCGCAAATCCGGGAACCATGTTTTACTCCCGCATTGGTCAGTTGCGAGTCCCGCGTTCAAGTAGATCAGGACAAGCGAGTTAAAGTTTCAACAGTTTTGGCTGGGAGGAAGCGCAGCTTGCGATATACTGATTGCTGTATCAATGTTATACGTCGTGAGTTCTATCTCTTGACACTCCACGGCGCCCGCCATCTTGACACGATGATGACCATCTATAGCTCTCTCGATACAATCAAGGTTTTAACGAGACGCGGGATCTCGTTAAGCGGCTTATACGGATGACTATGGAGACTGGGAGCCTCACGGGTTGGTCTACCATTCCACGTCGTTTGCTTCCGACAAATTCGACTGATGAAAATTTTATCCATCAGCTGCCATTGCTTCTGTCGATCTCATACTGTTCCTTGTGTTTCCCACTCAAGATTACCACATCACCCCGGCCCTCGCGCTGGCGAAAGTATACTCGAACTCCCTGCTCGTTGTCTTCAACAGCCGAGTAAGGATATCGGGTTCCCGAGGGTCTGAGGGATCCAAGAATGTTATTGGCATGGGAAGCAGTCGAGGGGGTGCGTATAGCATGAACAGGACGGGGATTAGTAGTATTGGGGTGCGTTTCAACGACGCGGAAGAATCAGAATCAGTTTGGAGAGATGCCGTTCCGCTGGAAAATGCTGGCCCGGTAAGTCCGCCCGCAGACTATCAAATCACTCCATCGGAACTGATACGAGGTGCTGATTGCTCACTGTCAGAGGACCTCCGCGCACATCCCGACGGATCAGACGGGAAGTTTCTTGGATATCAAGCATTCACCGCGTCAGGATGGGCTGTAAGACCGCCGAAGGAGGATGAAAAATTCACATGTGCCCGATACCTATTATCCCAGAAACTCTCTACAACCAGCCATGTACAAGCTTCGTATTCAAAAAGGCGCATTTGTCATCATCAACGAAGACCCAGAAACGATGGCTCCGAGAGAGTAGTGCCATCTTTGCATATGCAATCCTATGTCCGCTCAACCTTCCATTTCTTCTAACCGTTCCAGGTTGATCCACCGACAATCTTCATCCTCCAGCTTTTGGTGCACTTCCCATGCGACAGAGTCGTAATACATGTCATTCTTCAGGATACCCCTCTCAGCCGCCCGCGGCATAAGATCATCCCTTTCAACTCGCTCCTTCCAGCAGTAGATGCTCTCCAGGAGAGAGTATCGAGGTTCATCAAAGATTTCGTCGAGCATCCGTAGCACGGGACTAGCATTCGTGACCCAGCGCGGGAGAATCACGGACCTCAGGTGCTGCGGCCGTTCCTGAGCAGCCGTGGACCACGCCGCCCTGGACCTTGAGACCGGAAGGGTTTCGTCCAAGAATAACTGGTCCACGACGTTCCACCACCATCTCCCGTTCAGGTCAAGCTCGTGTATGTTGTGGTTCTTCGAGATGTCAAGCACGTTCTTCGTGGTGGCGCGAAGGACACCCACTGTAAAGGGAGCGTGATTTCATTTATAAACGATCATGAGGGGTTGTGATTGGGGTGCTCACTCCTGGGCCCTCTTATATCCCGAAACTTCCCAGGCACGTCTAGTTTCCAACTCTGCGGCTCTCTTCCCCCCTCCGCCAATGAGATTATCTCTCCTACGGCTGCGAAATCCCGTAGTTTAATGTGGACGAGGTCGTAACGGGTAAGAACCTTCGAAAAGACGCGTAGGGCAGGTATGAATTCTCGTATATTGAGATCCTCTAAGTCGAAGGAGATCGATCTCAACGAGGGCGTCCCAAGACTCCCAGTCCGAATCACCGTATCTGCAGGGTTGTCGAACCTAACAGCCTGGGCTACGTCGAGGGTTTCGAGGGAAGGAAAAGAGGTGACTACATCGTAAAAGTCTTGTATTCCGTGAAATGTCGGATTCAGAAGTACAAGAGTTTTCAACGAAGTAAAGCCTTCGAAGAGGATACGAGGTGTATCTCTCTCGGACGCCGCGTGCCACACTTCCATATTGAAACCATCCAAGGTGAGTTTCGTCAGCCCTCCAAACAGTTCCCTAGCCCTCCAAAGCTGCGAATTCCTTTCCGTTTGGTGACGGCTTTCCGAGAATATGGACCTGAACGGAGATGATATTGGGGAGGTGATCCTGAGTTCCTTCAGTAGCCCGGTGGTGAAAGTAGAACTCTTATTGCAACTCAGCTCGATAAACTCCAATAGCCTCGCTGGTACCAGGTCGATAGTCCAGGCCGTTCTGAAGAGGTGAAAACGGCAGGGAAGAAGGAAAGCTTTTGAGACCAAGGAGAGTCGTTTCAGCTCTTTTCGGTGGGAGAAGGGCCTGCACGAATTCGATATAAGCCTGTCATCTTGTATGTGGATGGGTTCGAGGAGGTGGTGAAGGATGAGACAAAGAATCTCAGGAGGAAATGCCACTCCAGTTTTGCCAGCGGGCATTGTGAAGAGTTAGCATGGGTGGGCAAAGCATGGAGTCTATGTCTTCTAAGTACTTCTTAGGACCGTAAGGGCCTGAGGGTTGTCGTTCTCATTCAATTTTGGCAAGACTTGGTAATTCAGTTACCTGGGGCCAGGTAAAATTGTCCGAGGGCCGAGCGTACATGCTCGGGGTACTTACTAACCGGAAATCGTCAGGATCAGTTTAATAGCCTGCGGCCTTGCGAACCTTGATAACCGATCTACAGCAACCTGGCAATAGGTCCATGGTGAAAAAGAACTGCCCCAGTGAGGCTCGAACTCACGACCTTCCGATTGTTTAAACTGGTCTAACAGTCGGACGCTGTAACCAACTCAGCCATGGGGCACATGTCTCCCTTTAGTATGGACGTGTTTATAGCTCGCGTGTTTCTCATTGACAAGTTGCAAAGAAGAGATAAAGTTTTTTTAATCTATCCTACTTATACCCTGCGACAAGAGCAGTAACTCCCCTGAATTAGGATTAGACTATGAACTGGATATTATGGCTAGCGCTAATTCCGGGCTCTGGCCTCTTTCCGTTCTGTTGGCGTTACGTCATCCGCCATGCCTTCCTTGAACCTGTGCCACGATGTGAGTTGTACTCTTCTTTAGCTTTTGATGTCTCGCTGGGTACCAACGTTCAACCTTTATATCTAGTCTTTCCCATAGCATGGCGAGTCTTCAGGTGAGATACCTTCTTGAGGCCACGAACGGCCTCGCTGACCCAGCATCTTGAAGCTTCTTATCAACGCTGCCATGCGGGAGTCGAATTACGACGTCGCGATAAAGAGACTCGGGGACAGGATTCAAGACAACACGCCTTCCGAGACTTTGCACAAAGTCATACCTGTGTTCTTCCACCACTTATCGCTTCCTCCGCCCCAAGCGGCGGAGTTCGAACGTGATATTCACAGGATTTACACAGCTTCTCTATCGCTCGGCGCACTATCTCGAGCGATCTCTGGCAATCTCCAGGTGGTGCTTCCTTCACGTATAACACCATTTTGGCCGTCAATCTGGTCATGGCTTTCATTCTTCATCGCCGAAATGATTTCGGATAACCGCGCAGACCTGATGTTTTCTAGGTTCGATATCGAGTACTCCGCATCTTCGCTCGTCGACAACCTTCTTGTCATCCCGGAGGTCGCTGAGATTATGTTGAAAACCAACTCTTTCGTCCCTCTTATCACAGACTTTCGTTTACTCGATACAAGGTTACACGCGGAGTCCTTGCGGCACTTACATCACGCCTTTCGAACCCTTCAGCGGCGCGAACACGATTGGAGCTGCTGGCAGCAGCAATGTCTAGTTGTTCTCAACGCTAAACCCGTTCTCACTGTCTCCGCCTTCCTCGGAGCTATCATGCGCGAAGCAACCTCGACCAACGACGAGGTTGACGAAACAAGTCTTTCCAGCAATATTCTCATGATAATCCATTTCGCTACGCTCTCGAGTACGCTTAGCCTGGCGTTTGTCAGAAGTGGAGCGTCGAAATGGATGGCTCGCCTGATCAAACGACTCACCAAAGTTCCTTTCGATCCTAACACGAGCCATAACGTTGTTGGGTTCATGAAGGGATGCATCTCCTACATCGAAACCCAAAGCCAAGCTTATGGATACCCTTGTGTTGTGGAAGCAATCGACAACCGAATCCTAGAGTCGATCTATGATGCTGGACTACTCATTCATGTTGACCTAGGGAGTCGGTTGACCGTCCCTGGCGACCGTCATCTCCAGGATCAGTGTGTCAAACTCATTCGTTTGATTGGATGTTATGCTTCCTACATCCCCGTTCTTCGAGCTCTACGTCGGTCTCTCAGCAGAGTTGATAGGCTTCAAGCGAGGACTCTGCCACAAAAAGTCGAGGAGGCATTCCAACTGCTGAAGGACGTTGTAAGTCTGCGAATTGGGGACAAGATGACTTGCCCGCCTCCCTCCGCTTGCGGGAATCCAAGGGTTAGCCGCCATTTCTTCTGCTGGGCGATCAGACTGTTTTTCTATACTGATCAATCTCGAACTCTAGTGTCCGAATGAACTGGAAGGCTTTTTGGGTCCGATGCGTCGCTGCTCGGGCTGTATGACGAGCTTGTTCTGTTCCAAGGATTGTCAGCGCGCGTCCTGGAAATCGGCCCACAGAGGTCAATGTAAGACTATTGCCGAGGTCAGGGTTCGTGAAGGTGGCTTTCCACGTAAGTAGAAGCGCGCTGATATGTTGATGTATTCAAGCTCACATTATGGACATAGGGTTCGGCGCCGTGGATCAATTGGGTCCTCAACAAACCGTATTTTGCTTCTGGCAGATGAAGAATGACTCGAGGCGGCACCTCGAATCACGCTCACCCGGTTACCCATTCGAAGAAGAGCGTGTATCACGAGAACAACACGCTGGGATACTGGTTATGAAGATCGATTACCGGAATCTACCTTTCCGGGTCAGTTTCCCAACTCTCGAGCAGTGCCGCATAGACGATGAGAACGCGAGTACCTTGAACGGACTGACAGGTGATGTGGTGGTTGAATCCTCGTCCAGTCTTTCCGTTTCTCAGCAGAAAGAGTGGGATGTATGGTTGAGCGGAAACCATGGGCGCTATGGAAGGCTCGTGTATGGCATATTCCCTCATCCGAAAGCTAGACGCTTTAGTGCTCTTTGCTTCTTTCCGGAACCACGGCCGTTGGAATAATTTCTCTTATCCTCTTTGCTTTTGCGGAATGTTGTATTTATATAGACCTATAGAGTATCCTTAAAACTGTAGTAATTTGACGTATAGAGCTTTCGTACTTGGTTGGCTAGATTCCTGATACTGATCCACAACATCAGGAGTCAAGTACTACGGAGACCGGTTCTTCGGGAGGTGCAGGCAGCCGGCTTCGGCGAGCGGCTCCGAGTCCGTTGGTTTTTCTCCGACTTCCACCAGCAACCCTTCTGGCTGATCGTCTCCAAGTCTTCAAGCAATTCCTTCAATTTTTTCGGCGTGTTATACCTAGTCAGAGTAGGGAAGTAGCCCGGTCATACTGAGGATCAGTGTCTATGTGCCGTGGCAATGGAGGGTTGGAGCGTGTTCTACGTTGGATACACTTTCCGCAATCTGGTTCCCTCTGACGAAGCTGAGAACTCGGTGCTATGGCCCTAGGAAACACTAACCTCAAACGCCCTGGCAAACTCTACGCCTTTGACCGACTTCCTGATTCGGATATGCTGGGGCCACAATGTCAAGCACGTTGAAATCTATAGGGATGTTCAGCTCAACACTTGAACATCTCTCACTATTGTCTACCATTCTGGTACACGATTTTCCACTCAGAAGAGGCCTCTGGGCCGAGCATTGTTTATAGATGCCCAAAAGGGGCTGTTGTGGGCGGGCAAAGCGGAGGACGGTATATTAGACTGAGATCGATTAGATGCTTTCCACCACTTCTCGACCTCACTCGTTTATCGGACACTACGCTTGACGCGACATAATGAACTCGTTTGACTTTGGAACCTTCAACCTTGTTGCTGGGCATAGCTTCGCAGCCGGCTGTGGACACAGTCAATCGTTCGTCCTTTCCAACTCATTTTCATTTCTTATTCGAATATTGACGCCGGCCGTAGGTTGGCACTGGTGGCTGGTACCACTATTACGAACACACACTCCTTCAACTATTCGAAACTTGACTCCTCTCTGCTTCAAAATCAACATGTCAATATGCCGGAGCAACCAGCTCCTGGACTCACCCGCGAGTTTTTCCAAGCTACCGACGCCAATCATCCGCTAAACCTACCGCACAATGTAACTGGAGACAATGGGCTTGTGTTTACAGAGGATTTACTCTTGCTCCATCGGAACGTATGGTCTCTTCCCGATAGAGAGGTTCTCAGCCACATGGGGTGCATGGATTCCATGCTCATGGACGAAAACAAGTGGAAGGTCTGGGTGCGGCGTCTGATGGCATGCGTCAGTGAACCCGTGAACGCACCCTCGGAAGAAACATGGACTTGGTAAGCTCCCCTCCATGCGAGAGAATTGAACGGCTTCCGACATCCTCTTTCACAGTGCAAATTTGAGCCACACTTGTGGCCCAACCGCCGTAAACGCCCCGAATGGGTAAGTAGACTGGCTTTTCTATGTGTGCATTTAAACTTATCCTCTCTTTACTACCAGGCGCTCGTCGTTTCTCCCGGACATGTATCCCAATTGGCCACAGCTCACGGGCGTGCATCACACTCAGACCTCCAACGGCTTGTCGTTCAATCAAGACAATACCATAGCCTGGTAGGACTTCTCTTCCCTTTATAACTTACAAGCACGTTAATCTCTCCGCAGCGACGAATACCATCGTCATCATGCAGGTCGCGATGTTGAGCGCTCTCCGACGCAAGAGATCCCTACACCATCCACTACTTACGAGAGTTTCAGTCCTCCGGAGAGCAAAGAAACCGAGTTCTTCGTACGGAGGGTACCTTCTCCCCCCGCCCATGCTTCTCTGGGATATCACGACACCGGCGTGGGGTATCCAGTTCTCTGGGATATCACGACACCGGCGCAGGTGTGGGTATCCTATTTAAAGGAGACAGCTCCCTCCCTTTTGTGGAGGAGAACCCTACCCATGAAGTGTGGCAGAAGATTTCCTCACAGGAATCAATGGATGTCGAGCCAGAGAGGTGTGTTTTCGAGTTGTTCAGCTTCTTCACCAACGTCTTAACATCGGTTTCAGCTCGCGTATGGATGAATCCCTCGACGCAAAAATTCCGAAGCATCTCCGAGGATCCGTTCCTCCCAGTATGCTTTTCACCTGGAGGGCTTACGAGCCTGCCCCAATCAGGGTTATTTCCGACAATGACGCGAAAGACTTTGTTAGGCCTCCGTTGGAATCCTCTGTGGGTCCCATTAGAAGTGCTAAGCACCGTAAGCACCGTGATCGACCTGCAGCGGCTCATGCTCCTACCGCGTTTGTCACCGACGACTATGATACCGACTGCAAGTCTTCCCCTCCCCGTGGCGGGAAAAGCCCATCAGATGAAGGATATACTCCTGTCTTCCCAAACCCTTTGACTTGCCAGTGGGGCAAAGATTCCGAGGGTAACCCCGCTACATGCTCCTACGTTTTCACGACCTCCCCTTCTGCGTCCGACTACCGAACGTCCTTCCTTGCCGAACTCGAAGCTCACATGAAAGAAGCACATCTTCCACCTTTCCGTTCTGACATGGAGACGGACTCGCGAGGTCGAATCATGTGTGCCTGGAAGGGCTGTTCTACCCCAAGGGTGGTGTATCCCGGGTTGCTGGTCCATCTGCGCAGCAAACACTTTGAGGTTGAATTCAGATGCGAAAAATGTGGGGTCACAGTGAAGAAAGGGAACGAGAAG